CTCGCGTGTGGAAAGCCACGCGAACGTGCCTCCCGGCCACGCGTTCCTTGTTGGACGATATCTATCTCGGGACCTCAGATCGTTGCAACAAGCTTCGCTGAAATGCTTCGGAGCAGATGCTCGATGGACGGGCGAGAGCGTAGTTCCGCTAAGCGAGCAATGCCCAAATTGGAGTCTTGATCGAAAATATCATTTTTGCCTCTGCCGATTCGGAGCGGAAGGCACTCGGTCGCTCTCGCGGACACCTGGGATAATTTCCGTTGGAGATTGGTTTTTTTATGGTCTTCGGCGTTTTTTGGAGCGCTAACCCTTCGACCTTGGCATTAGGATACTCTATCCGGCCGAGTCGTCCATCCATTGACGTGGTGTCAGGCGATGTCTCCGACTGGTAATGCAATGTGCAGGCCGAGCCAATGATGCGGCGCTGCTCCCGAGGGGGGAGTCAGGAGGAGCTAGTACTCCCAGGGGGAGACCGGCAAAAGGATCGGGGCTTTTCCTCCGTGGGGCCCGAACGCTTCGAGCCCTCCCGAACGAGGTCCGACTCCGTCTCGCGTTGAAACGTGTCTTCGTCCAGAAACGGAGCGAGAACTCGATTGGATCCGTCCCAGTCAGATATATTATTGATGGGGGATCTGACTTCTTCCCGGGAATAATTGAAGGAAATTTTCCTCGCTTCAACGAAAGCCGGATGAGCTTTCTTGGTATTTGATTGCTGAGCGGCGAACGATGGTCAAGGGAAGCTCTCGTTTTCTCCGCTCTGGTTTCGTTGGACATCAAGAGTAAATGTAATAAGAATAAAGCCTGTGCAGTAGACGTCAACGTCAGTGTCCCGAGGTGGAGCTTACCCGCGTGATTCGGCCCGGCTATTGGATGCTATAAGCGTTGAGAGGTGGCAAGCAGCAGCACAGGGACGTAAGCGAGGCCGGACTGACACAAGAACGGACAGGAAGACCTATGCGTGTGGGTCTTGTCCGCCGGTCGCTCGCTCAGATGGTTTGTCCCGTGCTATCTCCGGGCAACAGTCACCGTTCCTCCCTCTTGCTCTTGGGCACGCGCGTCAAGAATAGTTGGTCACTGACCAATGAAAAATGCAATAATCATTTGGACAGCCGGAGAACAGCGTCGGAGAATGGAAGGTCCATTGCTCGCAGGGGATTCCCCAATGAGCAAATCGGAACAGAGATAAAGTATCGGCTGTCCCTCCACCACATCGGCAATCAAGTCGGGTCGGTCGCTCGCGGGAACCTTGCGGCGACCCCTCCCAATGGATTAGATCCACGGGAGAAGAGACGAATTCTATTCGAGGCTCCGGCATGTTCGATACTCGAATGTCGGCGCTGTGGTGGTCAGAGTACGGCAACTTCGAGGCCTTCCGACAACTTTGCGACAATGAGTTCCGAGGCAGCGAGAGGATCCGAAATCGATTGTCGAAGTATACCTGCGAAATCGGTTTCCGGAGTATATACGGAATCGACTTCCGGAGTGTACGCGAAATCAGTTTACGAAGTACGCTACATCTCAGTGTCTCGGATGCCGGAACGTCCACCTCTATAGTTTCGCTCGAAGCTCAATCTTCCGGATGCGAATCGGAATGATCGCGCTAGTGATTCGACTTTCAGCGAAATCCCCGAATTGGCGGAAAAATCTCGACAGCGTGAGTTCCGCCTACAGTTTCTAGCGGACGACGCTGCGCTGTCGGAAGAGGAACGGAAGCGCTTACTTTTCCCAGGAGCATGGACACGATACAATACAACGCAGAGCCTCGCTCACAGGAACTGAGGCAACGGACAGGAAAGAGAGAATCAGGAGAGGGGGAAAAAGTCACTTGAAAAAACATTTAAAGCTACTGTCCTAGCGACCATTGTGGCAGCTTCACAGAGGCAGCTGGCCAACACTGTGAGCTCGAAGAACGCTCCCTCGGAGGGAATCGAGTTGAACTCCCACCGAGTGTGGATTCCACAGCCGGAATCTTTCACGGCCCCAATCCCCGCCCTCGAAAAATGCTCGCGGGCCCGCCGAACATTTTTTTTTCTGAGGATGAAATGATTCTACCCTCCGACCTCAAGTCGTTCCTATTTGATTGGAGGTATGTCATCCCTGGATCATTGCATTCGCCATATACGGGGAATCCCGATGCCCCTCGGCATTTCACACTCTGCGTGAAACAGCTGCCCGGGCGCCCGGCGTGAGAGTCCCCTTGGCGATAAATTGTTCCGGCGGCGCGACGGGCCGACCAATTGAAGACGACGGTCACACCGGGCACTCCATAATGATAGCAGCAGTAAATATTTTCTCTGTACGTTGCTCACCGTCGCTCAAAGACGATATTGGATGTAATCTTCGCTATCTGCCGACTCCTTCCACTTCCGCAAGCGGCACTAGATGGAGTTCGGGTATCGCCGTTCGCCGATACTCGATGCCGACTTCCCCCGACCTGCCGGCTGTGGTCGACTCCAGTATTCCGTCGAAAGTAGACGTATCTCCGCTAGTGGGGTTTTGAGAAAAAAAAGTCATAGTGATTTCGCTCGAGTCTTTCCGGGAGCAATCTTGCGTGGACGCGGACAGAACGGCTCCGGGGTCCTGGCCGAGAGACTCACAAGGTCGCGCCCGCTTTCGCATACAAGACAGAGAATTACGGAGTACGAAGTTGGATCGCGACCCTCGCTGACAGGAGGGCGTGCTCCTCGCAAAGCGCAGCGACACAAACAGAAGAAACAGATCCTGTGTTCGCGGGGCCATCATCAAATATGTTCTCCCGTTCCTCCATTGCTCCAGGGCAGATGGACTTCGGCCGCTGGATGAGACAGCATGATCTTGTTAGCGAATCGCGCCAAAAGTCAATCGCCGCGCCGCGTGTATCGCTATGTTTCGCTCTCGTTTTCAGATATCCTGAGGGTACCATCAAGGACGACAGGATTCCAAGCGAAATTAATTTTTATTCGCCGAAATTTTCATCTGATCGTCCGATAGAACATCGCGCATGATTTCAGGCTCCCGATGTCGAGGGACTAGATCTGCTCGAGTCCCGGCGCCATATCTAGCGGACCCAATCGCGGGATATGTTCCGGCATTCGAAAATGAAGGACGACGGACACTGCGGCCACGTAACGAATCCGCCCTCGCGTGCCCAGCAGATGCCGCGAATAGTTTCCGGATGTGCTTCACATGCCATGAATGCGAGATTCGGAATCGACATCGGGAGGTGAACAGAATGCGGACGATCCGCTGATCGAATATTAGGAGCTCCCCCGACAGATGCGGGAATCAGAATTGGACGGCGTGTCTCGCCGAACAACTCGAGAACGGAATCCGCGAGTTTGGGCTACAGAACTCGACCGTGGCTCGATTCCAGAACGGGCGCCGGGAGATAGGGATGAGACCGGCGTTCGGAGTCGTGAGAGCCAAGTGGCACAGAGGGTGGGGACACGAGCAGACGAGACGGAGCGGTTCAGCGGTGCGGTCACGCAGACCACCTCAGGAGAAGGAGGAGCAGTGCTCCGGAGCGGAATGCGCCCGCGACCGAGCGCTCGTGTTTGCTGACATTGTACAGTTTAACATGTACTCCTCGAAGATTGGTTCCTGCATTCGTGGTCGTGTTTTGTCGCGGGCTCCAGAGTTGGCGGCGCTATCGTTCGATTATTATCAGAGTTGCTTGTTGCTTCAGCACTTATGCATGATGATGGAGCGAACGCGGAGATAATTGGAACGGGATATGGCATTCGTGTTCTCCTCAGCCAAAAAAATATAGACGCGTGACTAAACTAATGAAGGCAGTCACTTCTTTTTGTGTCTGTGACGAAATAATCACATTCCGGAAATTGCAATTCACGAGGAAACGAGCTCGAAAATTCATAGTCTCCGATCGGCTCGAGGAACAGCAGCAGCGATACAAGGGACCGAATCCAGCTCGGTATCAGCCTCAACGAGCCGGCAATCCGGCAGGCGAGGGTGGTCTTGTCGGCGGCGACTTTTCCCTGCAGTCGCAATTAATAACTGTATCAAGGATGTCTTCGGCCAGAGCGTTTTTAAGCGAGCTTTATCGTCGCAATTAGCGGGGATTTGGATGGCGCGCCGGGGCGACGTGACGGGGAGTATTTTCGAGTTCAGTGCAAACTCGGGAGGGGAATAGCACAATCGCCGCTGCCGTCGATTCGACGGGCTAACAGCAGCCAGTTTTTTTGCTCTCTGAAAATTCCTTATATATCTCCTCTGGATGACTGATGTCTTCAGAGAGTTCTTCTCCTGTTCTTGCAAGAGGGGCAGAGGGGAGAGGCCGGGGCGAAGTGAGCGGAGGTAGTTTTGGTGTGCCGGGCCGCCCCTCCGTTTCCTCAACTGCAGCAACGGCGCTTTGGCAGCGGCGGAAAGTGGGAGTTATTCGTCTCAAATGACTCGAGAAGCCGAGACGTCAGCTGGGAATCGAGTACAAGTCGAGACTCCGGCTGACGGCGCCATCGTATGAAATAAACCAAACAGAACGAACCTCAAATTGAGCCCCCAGGAATCACCGACGCTGCCGCCCTACTTCTTACTGACTCAACCTCTTGGCTCAAATATTTGCCCACAGAGCCGATCGAGCACGAATTCCGTGCTAGATAAGACGTTTGGAACTAGGTATTTTATATACTTACAGAGCTTTGCGTTTGTTCAAAACGGAAACGCTCCCTCAATTCCCACAACGTTCCTTCGAATATATCTTGGGCTGGTGGACTTGTACATCTCGGGAGCCTTCCGTTCCTCGAGAAGTCAAGTTAATGAAGTCCGATACTCGACGCGGGCAAGGCGGCAGCTGCGAGACGGAAACATATATATTATTTCCTCTGCTGTCGCTTCTGATTGATTCTCATTCCGACTGCTTCATTTGCGCCTCACATTCATCGAATCTTTCCAGATAATGACGAAACTTCGGGATACGATCTCCCGTCAAGAATCTGAACAACAAACTATGAATAATTGAGGAGACTCGTGGCAAAGATTGAGGAGAAGACGGCGAGTTTCGCGTCATGGCGGAATCTTGCGGAGCAGCCTCCGTAGCATCGACGACATTTCTTGTTCTGCTCGTTTCCGCCCTTCTGTTGAGCATCGCCGCAGCATACGCCGACGCGAAATCAGCTGACACAGTTACCATCGGTAAGTTAGGGGTATCGATTCCCCCCCTCCGGCTCTGGTGTTGATTGGCGCTGCTTCGGTTTCCCCGTCAGGCGCGAACGATGAGCAGAGACTTCATATATAATGAGCAGACGTATAAAGGAGAAACCTCTTCGGAACAGGTCTCGTTTCGTAAAATTAATCGCCGAGCTGCCGACGAAATGAACATGAGGAGAGAAAGATGTTTCGTCGTCGACCATTGAAGGATCGGAGACTCGAGATGGGAATATTGCCTAATGATGGAAAATTCCTTACCCAGGTGGAGTTTTCGACCAAGGCGAAGACAGCGGTCTGGACGTTCATTTGACGCAAGCCGTAGAACGGATAAATCAAGACGCGTCTATCTTACGTGGCCATCAGCTGAAAGCCCTTAGTTTCAAGACAAATCCTGGCGACAGTTTCGTTGCATCGAAATGCGGTGAGCCTCTCTGCGCAATACGTCGCCGCCGGAAGCAGAGCTCTGCTGCGGCGTTTGCTCGCTTGCTGGCGGCGGCGAATAACCGCGCTATTAATTTTTCGGAATTCCTAGCCCTTCTGAACGCCTGGCAGCCTCCAACCGATGCGTTCCTGGCACGCTGCGTGTGCCATCGACTTGAGGGATTCCTATCGAATTCGGATATTCGATTCGGAGGATTGTGGATTACTTTAGGGGAGACCGGACCTTTATCCCACGCCCGCTTATCTGCCCGGGGGAATTCAGAGCCACTCGAAATTCGAAGCTTCGGTCTCCGGCAAACCGCAACCGAATCGGATACCTCGGACAGTCGGACGCACGCGTCTCTCTCGACGCATGCGCAAGCTGTCACTGTCACGCCGGCGCCGGTTGGACCCATCCCAAGCAAGCGCTGCGACGACGATCGTATGCCAGCGCTGCGTTCCTGATTGCCTCCCCGGCGATGAATTAGGTTTTTCCTTTTTCCCACAGTGTGTGAGCTTGTCCGGCAGGCCATTGCGGCCCTCATAGGACCCACTTCTTGGCAAGTGCAATCCTACGTTCAATCGGCTTCATACCGGATGCAAATCCCGTATCTTCAAACATCGCCTGAATTCCGGGAGCGCCTTAGCCCGTTCACGTTATATCTGCATCCTTCAGTACAGCAGCTGAATCGCGCTTACCACGACCTCATTCAGAGCCGCAAGTGGAAGTCGTTCGCTGTTTTCTACGACAACGATAATGGTGAGGATCCCCGCTTTTGTCTTCGCGCACTCACTCGGAAGTCGAGCAGCTCCAGAGTTTCGAGTCCTTGTACAGCGGAACAGAAGGATGATCTCGAATGAATGCGATGCCATTAGCCTCGTCAGAATCGACCCCGCCATGGAGTGAGTAGCAAAGGCACTCCCCGCTCTTGGTTCCCGATGAGGGACATCATGGGATCAGACGCAGACCTTGATATGGTGTCAGGATCCCTAGCTCCGTGCTAATGGCCCCCGCCCCCTTCCCGCAAATGAACAACGATCGAAGTGAGACAAGGAGCTCCGAATGAGAACCTATTCGACGGAAGTCGCTTGCCGGTTGTTCTCAAGGATTGTCGCCGAGCTCGCTTCTTATCCTTGAGCAACCACCGATTTCCAGCTGCAGGATCGGCCGTAGCTGTTTCATTAGCTTGGAATGTTTCTGGTATCCGAGGCCCGTCGCGCTGCCGCTGCAACAACAGGGCAATCAATTCAGGGATAATGATTCGAACTGATGTAATTAGTGAGGTATTCAGGAAAAGGAACAACTCACGGAGAAGACTCACCGTAGCCAGTCAGTCAGTCAGGCTCTCACTCTTGACACTTATACCTCAGAGAGTCGTTGAGGGTCGGCTCTTCCGTGTTCCGTCGTTTCCTGCGCAACGCAGCCCCGGCGGAAGCGAAATAGTCAGCTTGGGAAATGCTTCAAGAAACCATTCGCTAATGTGTCTCACTTGCAGTATTCGTTGCGTTGAAAGACGTACTCAACGCATCCCTCAATCCTCCCAACGTCCTGATGTATCCTTACAACCCCGCGTTGTCCTTCAAAAAAATGCTCAAGGACATCGGCAGCAAGAATATCTACAACATTATCCTCCACCTCGAGCTAGCCAAACTCCCTCAACTGTTTCGAGAGGCAAGTAGTCGGCATTGCTGCTGAGTCTCCGCTGATTCCGCCACCGACGGCGGCGGCAGTGGCTCCTGCTCTCAACGCGTAGACGTAGACCTCGGGAGGAACGAATATTGTAGGCTCCAATCGAGAGCGTGCGCGAGAATCCACGTGAGACCGCGCTGAATAAACACATCATCGAGCGTCTGCATGATGGAAAAGATGGAACGTAGACAGCAGGGGATTACAGCGCGTACGAAGAAGAACGAGCTTGCTCACCAGGCAAACAAAGCTTCAAGAATGAGGAAAACGGTGAGACCTCCTCGGTCGACGAGATGCGACATTCACGGCCAAAACCCGAGACGCTTTTTCCGGGAGCCTCATCCGAGACGTTCACAAGTACGCCGCGCAGCTGGGCAAACACCTTCCGGTCGTTGTCGTTACGCGCCCGCCGAGCATGCTGAGGTGCTGGGAGAGCAAGGAAAATATTTGGGCTCTTCCGACAGCCAATGGCTGACGACTCACTCGGTCAGTTAGCTAGACGGGGAAATCGTTGATGAAAAGGTAGTCGCCCACGTTACTCCTCCCGCCCTTAGATGGCCGCCGCGGCGGTCTGTCGGCTACTTACTTCACCACATGTACTAATACAACGCTCACCGGTCGCTAGGTAGGAACGATCAATCATCGGCCGTCTCCGATAATCACCTCAGTGAGCATTACTCACCATTTCTCCAGATAGAGTCCATCAATTGTTATTTTCGATACTCGATATCGTCGTCCCTTTGCCGGCACCCTTCTCCGCCGACATATGTTCGCATTCTACGGTTTCGGGCCCCGGTTCCTGTCCTTATCGTTGATAGCGCGTTTGATGAAGTTACGTGGAGCCGGAGAAAAGAAGGGAACCAAACCAAAGAAATAGGGGACTTGTCGATTAGGGCGCGAGCGAATGGGTTGCCCAGAAGGTCTCCAAGGAAGCCTGAATTGACGCGCTTGTTCCTTACAGGCAGAGGAAGTTAATCAGACAACTTTATATCACGATTACATCGTGACAGGACTTGTAAGTGCCTCGTAGTTTTTTTCTTATAACATGGATGAGTGAGCCTGTCCTCACATATGCAATTCGGCTTTCCGTCGGGTTTGTCCCGATCGATTCCTCTTTCGAAAGTCCCGTCGTTCCAATGCATGTACGAGTTCGGGAGAATTGCGGGCGGATGTGCGTGGCGCCAGAGAACAGACGTCTGAGTGAGCTATTCTCCTTCTTTCGAACCCGATAGGATTTTCACACTTTGGACCTGCGTGAATTCTACTCACTGAAGGCCAACGTCTCCGCCTTCCGCATCATCGATCCGGACCGAAAAGAGGTAGGAGAGAAAAAAATGGGGAAAATTGATTGGACTGCAAACAAGAAAGGAAATCGAGACGGTGTAGAGTGGTCTCGGAAAGCACTGTCCGCAAACATTCAGCCGTTGCAGCAAACGCTTCCACTTTTCAGGTGCAAGTGGTGCGACGTGATTGGGCGCTTGCAACCGGTCTCGCCTCTCAGAATTACCAGTCTCCAACAGCTTCGGGAGCTCTGCGAAAAGACAAGTCGCCGAACCTCGATAGAATATCGGTGAGCTCGAACGGACTTTTTGCCTGTCACAATGAATAGGTTTCCCTCTTTCCGGGATAGCAGGGGTGGGGAGGGAGAATATTCCGCGGATTTCTAGCGGGTCAGAGATGTTTTCGAACTTCCGAGACGCATATGCGATTCCCGGATATGACCTTCAGTTATCTCGTCGTTCGAGTGCTCGTCATGTGCACCAATCCGACCGAGCCTCGATTTGGAAAGTCGGGTCCTAAGCCCGATGCCTCGGAATACGATCAGGATGACCACCTCTCACCTTTACCGATCGAGGACAATTCGACCGGGTGTAGAAGGGCAGGGAAGCCCCAACGGTACAAAGGCGAGAAAGCGTTCAACGCTTCCGTCTCAGATCCTCTCCTTCACTTGCGAGCTGATACCCGACTCCGCCGACTCTAGGCAAATTTGCGGTGTGCTTTCCGCATATTCCGTGCGTCGCCATCTCTCAGCCTGTCGGTCCTTCCAGCGTCAACGCGAGCTCAACGAACGGGGACTTGATGGTGATGCAAATGCATCACTGGGCCGCTCTACGCCTACCCCTGCGCTCTCTCTCGCTGGTTTCCCGGTCCGGGACCCTCTCGCCTTCTCCTGCCGTAGTTTCGGATTCTTCATTTTTTTTCCGGCTGTGTCTCGTCCCAATATGGTTTTTCCCCGACGCGGCGAAATTTCCTTCAGCTGCCCTGTCTATTCCCTCCCCCTTCTCTCGTGTGTCAGCGATGCGGACACCAGGACGGAACGCCGATGACAGCGGAAGCTTCTGGAGGACCTCAGCGGATCCCAACATGCCGAGGAGCTCAGAAAATTGCCGCTGTTATGCAAATCAGAGGAGCGACAAAACCAACTTGGCGAACGAATCACATACAGATAGTTCGCTGCAAGACCCGCAGAATCTCGAACCAACAACATGGCACGAATTTCGCGCCGGATACGCGAGGCTTTCCTCCCGACGACTCATGACGATATTCGAAAAATCAATGAATGCGTTCCGTTCGTGCGAAACGCCAGCGCACGGTCGAGCCAAACGAAGAGGTATCTGTATGGACGTGTGAGATCACGCTGACTTCCTGGTCGTGGACGTATGATTTCGGAGCTCGTCGCGCTGGGGCCTGTCTTGAACCGTTTGAGACCGGGGCAGATGGAGTTCTCCGAAGGTTCAAGTCAGAACTCTCGACGTGAAGAATGATGGGGGAATCATTCGACCTCCTTTCGGGGGTCTTGGTCGAGCAATGGCAGATGGACGTAGAATCTGAATGCGGACGTCAGGCTCGCCGACGGTCCAACCCGTACTCAGTGCCGACGTCCCTCCTTGATTTGCTGCTGTCCGAGCCGGCTTTCTCCGCGGGCTCGGTGGCCAGGCGGAGACCTAGTCCGGACTAATCGGTTGGAAGGAAACCGACGGGGAATCAATTACGAAATCTCTCTCCTCGGTCTCCCTCGATTCTTTCCATAGCAGTCGCATCGGGAAAGTCAGGTCGCTTCGATGGATATTCGCGAATGGACGCAGCGGCTGGTTGACCAGTACGTCCTGCTCCGTTGGGTTTTGGTTGCTTCAAAGCGGTCGCTCAATCATCGAGTTTCCGGCGGGCTTTGACGCCGAGCGAGTTGTGGCGAGCAGTCGTAGGCTCGACGGCTCAGAAAAAGCTTTCCATCCATACATTCGTTCGTTCGGCCGTTTGATCATCGGAGCGAGCTGCCACTGGATCGCGTGAATGATGTTGCCTCGAAAGGGCCGACGGTGTGAAGGGGGCAGGTCCAGCATTGACGGACGGACGACCGAGCAAGCCAACGAAATCCCCGTAGCACCGTAGAGAAAAGAGAAGCATTCTCGTAGAATAGACGCGAGAATTCCCTCGCTCCACTCCTCCCCGAGCCCGCGATTTGTTTCAAACATGAGCATCGTCGTCGGGTGCTTGACGCAGGGGCGAAGGAACACGCTCCGAGAGCATTTCACATGCTCTCGATGAGAGAGCGAGCGCCGGGGCCAGCTCTCTCGACATTCGGATCTCGATCCTGGGTCAGACGGCCTTACGTCATTTCGGTCGAGCAAAAATAAGTTTTTGAGCAGCTCTCCGAGGCTTTCGGCCACTCAGCAAAAAGTGTGGTCTCCTAAACACTTGGAATTCTTGAGCATACTCCCTCTCGCTTGATTGATTTCGAAATTCCCCGACAGGACCAACTCGGCGCTTTCGAGGAGTTTTTGAAAAGCCGTCCGAGAACTATGACGGAGAGCAGATTGCTCGAATACGCCGTAGTTCCCTGCGCCAGTTTTCCATTCTGCCTCTCATGGAAAGAAATATTTTCCGTGGAGACACCTCATTTTCTGAGGAGTGGAATCGAAGATGGAACAGAGAAGGATGGACGTGTTGACAATCGAGAAAGCGCCGGGAAGACTCGAGGAGCAGACGAGGCGAGACGGGACGAGAATGAAAATGGGCCGGTGGGAACAAATTCCTCGGTCGGATGTCCCCGTTCGGTCTGATTGATTGTCGCAAGGTATCACCCTGTGACTTCTCGCGAAGTCCTGATCAGAAGCCGACATGTTTCGACGTTGTGCTCTGTGATACTGCCCGTGTAGCACTCGAGCGACTATCTCCCTGCCGTCAAACTTTTTCCTGGGCCAGTCCGTAATTGCCTATTCCGGCAGAGCTCTCTCTCGTGTCCCGTAACTTATTTTCCGCTCGTTCCAGCTTTGAACTGCCGCAGGATTTCGCTGAATGATTCATACGGAATCGACCCATCAACCACTCGCGTACAGGGCTGTCACAGAGCGTGCTTATTGTCAGCTTAGGATTTTTTTCTGAACGCTACGCAATCGCTCACTCTTTCCGACATCCACTGACATCCGACAACCATGAAACGTCGGGTTGACGCTATTTTTTTCTCTATCTCATTGCCTTTCATTTGAACTCAGGAGGGCGTTGCGAGCGAGCAATGAGCGGGCGGAACAATCGAAAAAAAGAAGACTTCTCTCGTTTCGACTACAAAGAGCCGACGCTGAAGAAAAAACGCTTTTCTTCGCTTGACCCTGGGGAGAGAGAACAGGAGGTGCTCTTGGAAATTACTTCACTCGACTCCAGACGCGGCAGCGGAGGCTCTTTCCCTGTCCGTCCTTATGTTCGTCGCATGCTGGTTGGTGGATCTGTCCGTGTTCCTCTTTCCGCACGACCGTTCAAAACCCATCCCAGTAGGCGCATACTCACGCTTTTCGCGGCCGAGAGCGGAACGAAGCCGGTGCCGAAGTCGAGTCGAAGGGGGGCGGCTGCCGCGTGGACAGCGCTCGGTCTCTGAGTACAAAACTGTTTCCCACCCATTTGCTTCACTAATTGGGTTTGCTCTCTTCCCCGCATTCCACCGAATTCACTCGTTGGTTTCGGTCTGGAGTGCCACTTGTTTTTTGCGCCACATATACAGACACCGAGCCTTCGCGAAGTTTTTCCTCGCGTCAGTGCTCGGCATGGCCTCAGGATTCGCTTCATGAAACTTTTCCGAAACTGAGCCGGAAGCGGGACGAGTTCCTGGTTCGGACTCTTTCCGCGAGTTTTGCGTCAATGACAGCATACATCTAGGCCCAGGAAGGATGCAGAACGTTTGAACCTCATCGTACTGGATTCCTTAGATCCCACAATCGCTGGCGGAAAATTTTCAGAGCGCTCCCTGCCGCAGAGCGTTGAGAGGGCCCAAGAAGTTCGAGAGAGAAAAAAAGGATTGCAAGCGACCTTGTCTTGAATGTCGATGTTTTCTATCCTCATTCCCCGGTGGAATACCGACTCATATCCCAGGTCGTCTCCTGCATCGGGTCGACTGAGAATCGCAGTCGAGAATTTTTTCCTTCGTATAAAACTCCTCTTTCTTCTTTCAGACGACTGAAGCTCTTCTGTACGATGCGGTAGCTCTCGTGGCGGCTGGCATTGAGTCTCTGAAAGAAAAGGAATGGAAAGACAACAACAACTACAACAAGAACCCTCCGCCATTGTTCTCGCAGCTGGACTGTAACCGCAGCGTGCACTGGGAACAAGGCAAGGCGCTGCTTGAAGCAATCAAGGGGGTAAGTGACCGTCGGATCATCGATTGGCGATGGCTCGCGTTGAGCTGCGGTCACTAGACCTTCGAAATCTATTCGCCCAGTCTCTCCTCGAATCCTTCCCGGGGAGATCCTGACTTCGGTTCGCGATTCTGCGAGTAGTTTTGTGCGGGTAGTTTCCGACCGGCAGGTCAGTCGGGCCGTATCTTTGGAAGAAATGCTTTCATTCTCGGACAGAATGTCTCCATTATTGCCAATCTTTCTCACGAGACCCTGTCGCCGGGAGTTTCCGTCCTACACATTTCTCATTTCCTTCACAAGAGTCAACGACGTCGATGAAACTCCGCGGCAGAACATTAGAGTCCTCCAATGTCTTCGACGTCGTTTGCCGTGGCAGCACCCGTCTCCGGAACGACTTTCGGAGGCCACGTTTCGACAACGTTCACGTTAGTCACACACAGAACAGAAGTAAAGCTATTCGGAAACGTGTTCGAGGGCGCGCGATACGCACAATGTCAATCGTAGATGAATCATACCGCTATACATATGAATGTATCGCTGCATTCGTTTTCTGCGAACACACCCGTACGTTCTCTCCGTCTTCGTTACAACTTTCGGCCGTTCTGATGTGCTTTCCTGCCGGTTCTCGGACGGAATCGACTTCTTGCGAATTTGCCCCCCTTAAAGAAGGAATCCGCCGGCTTCTCGTCTCCAACCCGAGGAATCTGCTCAGGATGCTCCGAATGCTGTTATAGCTCGGAACGGGGACACCGCCTCCGGCGAAAATAGCATGTCCCACCACAACTATAGAAATTCATGATTCGTTCTAGGCAAGAGTCCGGGGGCTCAGCGGAGACTTACGTTTGAACCGTCGCTCTGGGACACGAGACGAATTCGCCTTAGATATTGTTGAACTCAAACACAGCGGTCTTCGAAAAACAGCCACCTGGACCACTCGAGAAGGCCTCAAATTCAGTGCTGCGAACCGAACAGAGCAGGACGCCGAATTGTCCAAGACCCTCGAGGGAATGACACTCCGAGTGGTCAGCGTTTTGGTAAGATTGACTCCAGGATTTACCACGGACGAATCGCGGATTCGGAGAAGTAGGGGAGAGAGACGCCGCGTGAAGTTTTCCTATACCCACCGCGATTGTTCACCGCTTCGAAGTCGTTTCGCTTCCCCTGATCGATATTTCTCTTATTTTTTTGTCTATCTCCTCTCATTTCCGAACGCCCGAGATTCCGGGTGAAGTCCTATTTCGATAGCTGTTCGCTCACATCGTCGCTGTCGTTTCAGAACGAACCATACACAATGCTCTATCCAGCCTCTGAGAACCGAACAGGGAACAATCGTTATTACGGCTACGCGATAGACCTAATTAAAGAACTAGCCGCGGTGTGCAAGTTCAATTATACTTTCTACATTTCACCAGACAGTAAATACGGAAGCAGACAACCCGACGGAAAGTGGAATGGCATGGTGGGAGAACTTATTCAGAGGGTGAGCGCTGGGCTCCTCCGCCTGTTTCCTCACGTTCAGCCACGATAATCCCCTTGTCTCAGCTCGCAATCGCTTGACGCGCTCCCACGTTCTCCACAGAAAGCCGACATCGCCGTGGTTGACCTCACCATCACTTACGATCGCGAGCAAGTTGTCGACTTCACGATACCCTTCATGAACACCGGAATCAGTATCCTCTTCAAGAAGCCCGAAAAATCAGAACCGGCCATATTCTCCTTCTTGTATCCATTTTCAATCGTAGTCTGGTTCTATACGCTTACGGTGTACACCTTTGTTTCAATTTTGGTGTACGTACTGGGGCGCTTCACTCCCTACGAGTGGGTTCCTTCGCATCCTTGCGATCCTCAATCCGAACCCGAGAACCAGTTCAGCTCTCTACAGAACGCGTTTTGGTTCACAATGGGAAGCATTATGCAACAAGGCTCTGATCTTGTTCCTAGGTGAGTGAATGCGGCGCGCCGTGCTGCCCAAGTCGGGCTGGAAGAAGCAGCAGCGTCCCGCTGTGCTGTAAGAGCCCGAGCCGCGTTCTCGTACGCCTCGGATTTTTTGTTGCACTCTTTTTTTCCCTTCCGTACCCGTCGACTCTTCTATCTTCCGAACGAACGGCTCTGAAGCAGAAGCCGGGAAAGACGAATTAGATGTAGACGTAGGAGACGAGTCGCGAGCAACGAATATTTTCTTGACATTTTCTTATTATAGGGCTATCTCAACTCGTGTCCTGGCATCGATTTGGTACTTCTTCACGTTGATCCTGATTTCTTCGTATACAGCGAATCTCGCGGCTTTCCTGACGGCCGCTCGGATGGGCGCCCCCATCGAAAACGCTAACGATCTTGCCAAGCAGACAAAGATCGCCTACGGATGCCTCGGAGGCGGTTCGACCTATGGATTTTTCAAGGTATGCCATACATTCATTCAATTGAGAGCAGACGAATATGTCGATACGTGGAGCTGCGTATGGGCTCCAATTCATCGATCCCGCGACGTTCGCCGGTATCCACGGCGGCGACGTGCGGGTCGATTGCGGGGCGGCATTCCGCTTGGCGAGGTTTGACGCCGCGAATAGTTGACAACACCTTGTCCGCCGTCTGCCGCAGGCGACACGACGTGAGCCTCGGAGGGAAAGTTCGCAATGTTTCATTGCCTCGATCCTCGCTCGAGAGCAAAGTTCGTCCTTTGATGCTTGTTCTCACTCGGTGTCCGTGTTCTCCAACGCGCAGACGTGTAGACATTCGGGGGAGAGATCAAACGAGGGATCGGAATAAAGCTGTCTGAGGCTCTGAGTTTGTGTTTTGAAATCCTGTGACTCGAGGAGGCCTTTTTTCATCGCTCGAATTGTCGAATCGAGCCACCGTGGAGGAGCTTCTGCTTCTTATTTCCTGGAGAGAGCCATCGAGGATTTAGGAGTTTTCTCCCCGTCGTCGGGAAGGAACTCGGAAGGAATCCGTCCTCTCCCGATGACGCAGAGATTCCCAACAGCGCTCTTTGATTTCAGAAACACAATGACCCGGTGATGAAGCGGATGTGGACCTACATGGAGGCGGAGAGGCCAACAGTGTTCACCACGTCCAACAAGGAGGGCATCGAAAGGGTCCTTCGAGGCGACTACGCCTACCTCATGGAGGCGCTCAGTATTGAGTACCTCGTAGAAAGGAACTGCAACCTTACCCAAATAGGAACATTACTAGACAGCAAAGGATACGGCATTGCCACACCTCTTAGTGAGTAAGCCGACGCAGGACGAGTGAAGTCAGCAGTCGACAGACGGAAGCAGGCCGGCCAGCGTCGAATTATGCTCTTCAACGGGCTCTCTCCTTTCCCCCACTGTGCAAACGGCCGACATTTCCGCCGAGGTGTAAACGCCATGAGACTTGTGCTCACAGACAGCCCAAATACCGTCGCTCTGAGGGGCTGCGAGAAGTACATAGCTCTCATCTACCAAGATGAATGCTGCGTTTTCAGCTCGAAAATTCAGGCGTGCGCCGGCCTTGCGTCCGCAGTCGACGGACGGACTCACTTAGTTAGTCAGTCCGATTCCTCTATAAATAAACTGTTCCGTGCGAAAGAAACAAGACCAATTGTGGAGGAAGAATTGCTGGAATCCCCACTCTGAAATGAGCGACGTTGAAATGGAGCGTGAAATTATTCAACTCTCAGAGCGCTCATCCCTCATTTCGTCTACCCGTGCGTCTCACGGCTAGAAATCCCTTTACCGGTCAGAACAGGATTTCATGCCCCCGATGAATTACCCAACGAGGCTCGCACTTACCCCCGGCGTAATTGTATCAAATGACGGAGGTCGCTGAGTACGGCCGACAGGGCAAACCAAGAACGACGGCGTGCAGTAGTCATTCGAAGGACAAACTTGCCATCTCTGCTCCCTACTCCCTCACCCCGTCGAGGACGAGGCAGCTCCGTCTAGCGGTCCCCCGGTGGCGAGCGGTCAGTTATCCGGCCAGCTAGGTCTCGTTTCCCCTCAATGGCACGCCATATTTCTCTCGCAGTCTGGCTCGTTTGCCTCGGGCTCGTAATTTGCGTCATGAAGCGTCATCATTCGCTGTGGACACGGCGGTTATGCGCGCAAGCGCTCAATGATTCCTCAGAGCACCTAATCTAACAAAATGGCGAGAAGCCAAACTCGGAATCGCGATCACAGTTATTTTTGCCGTTCCCATGCCCAATACGACCCCTGACGACCGGCGAGACACTGCAGGGGCGGGAGAACGATTCGATCAAGGAGAATCGCCAGCGCGAACAACTAACGGAGGTCAATGTGCGTGGGTCGAGCTGGGCTTGTCGCAGGTCGCCATGCTGCTACACACTGAGATCGAGCAGCAGAGTGTCTCGAATGAAGGCGGAACGGACTCGGAACGAACGATCTACCGCGAGAGAAGTGGAGCGTTCCGGGCTCAGACCTGAGCTACGGAGTTCATTATGGACCTCTGCCGGCATCTGAGTGAATAGGATTTATGTTGCAGAGTCTCCGCTCCGGAGCGCGCTCACATCTGCAATATTGATCCTCCAAGAGAAAGGGGTACTACACGCGCTGAAAATGAAATGGTGGAAGGTATTTCATTTTTTTGTCCATTCGTTCTGATTAACATTTTTCTCAGGCGCCTCCTGATTTTTTTCGCGGGAGATCAGTACGGAATCCCTCAACTTGTTGGCCTATTCAACGAATACGATCTCGATTACAGCAACAAGGCGGCCTGCTGAAGTGCGATGAAGACAAGGGATCTTCATCGACGAGTGAGATGGACATGGATTCCGTGGGCGGAGTATTTTTAACCCTGATTGTCGGATGTGCTGTCGGCGTTATAATAGTCATCTGCGAGTTCTGCTGGAAGAGAGCCAAGGTGCCTTACGGTGAACGGGTGAGTGAGTGACTGCCGGCGGCCTGCCTGGTAGGCTCGCAGGCTGACTGACTGCCGTAGGTACCTGTACACCGTCCGTCGTACACCGCACATAGACGCTCCAAATCGACTGATGATGTGGCGGTGGCGCCAATGCGCTTTCGATTCAGAAAAGCGGAGCTCGTCTAAAAAGCGTTGTGACATGGTCTCAAGCGCCGACGTGATTCTCTCAAGCGCCAAGTCGACGCTGGCCTCGTGTCTTGAAACAGCTACAACAGAAAGGCCGTCGTTGAAGATCTTGAACTATTAAAACGCCGTCGTCGTCTGGCCTCTGCTTCCAACTATCAATCAACTTAATAGAGTTATGAACAACGGGCTAGAAAAAGGAGACATGCCGCGATACGGCGAGCCATGCAATGATGTGGATACAGCGTAAAAATTTATGTACACAGAAGGATGTCCCCGACGAAAGTCGACGACTACGCTTCTGCTCTTTTTCGTCGCTCGTTCCGTAGCCGGGCAACGCTCGGCCGGCTACGCCTACTTTCAGCGGGCGTCGGTCGTCCGTTAGCGTACTCGAAATACCACTCAAGAAAGCTTACCCTCGCGAGAGAAGTGGCTCGGACGTCCCACCCTGCTTCTCGTTGTCCACTTGTTGTCGCATCCAGGGCAAACCCTCGGCGGGGTCACTGCAAACACGACCTGCGCGGAAAACCGTCCCGGTCACGATTCGAGACGTGGTCGGATGTTTATACCAACTTCACTCGATGACCCTTATTCTCTCTCTTCGTTAGGGACATTTGTTCTGCGAGTTTTTCAAAGAGATGAGACATGTGCTCGCTTGTCAGGGCTCTCGACCGAACCCTGATTCAAGGTAAGACCAAAGAAGTCGATCGAGACGACATCGCCGTCAAACACCGCATGCACTGCACGCAGCCACTCGACGGTCTCGGACTCACGATCTCAATGCACTTTGCTCTCTCTGCTCGTTCGTCTCCCTCGGAGCGCGAGTCCGGACCGACGCGACGCCGCGCCGTAATGCTCCCGATGACATCGCTCCATTTCCAGAGAGGACTTGGATGACGAGGATGCTGCTGGAGGCACCGCGGAACTTTCCGAAGATATCGACGTTGCTGGAATGGCGTTACACCTAAACAGCCTGAAGCTCGCTCGTACAGCCACGCTACAAGATATGCGTCTGCAAAATATGCAAGGCCAGCTTCAGAACTGCAAAACAAATCAATCTCACATAGGATCTGACACGTTCTCCCGACAAACCTCCGCCAGTCACCTCAGCAGGACCGCCACTCTACAGTCAAGGTAGGCTGGGCGAAAACAATTCGATTCATTAGCAGGGCCTGGAAGCTCCTGGTCGCAGCAACTCCCGGGAATAAGTTCACCGGGAGCGACGGCGCGGTCTACTCCTCCGTTCCATCCCCAAACCCCCGCTATGTTGGGACTGAGCGTGGTCCACGTGCCCCCATGGGTGCGAATGTGTTCCCCCCACAAAAGTTCCAGACTGACTCCGGTCGCTCAACGCTTGTAACAATCGACTCTCGTTCGGCCTGAAAATCAATCTGTCGTCCGAGACGGGAAAGAACGCTGAGTGAGCGCCAACTGTGAGCTGCTGCTGCCGCCACCACCGCCGCCGAGATCCTTTCAGATACTCCTGCCAAGCTGCCTTTTCCCGGAGTCAGCCAAAGTTTCCTTCGAAAGCCTCCTCGTGTGCTTCTGAATAGAGTCAAGCTAGAGAGCTGCTCATATCTTTGCACCATCTGTTTGCAGGCATTCAAACCATTCGGTGCGTACCTCGCACACCATGAACTCGGTTCATTCCATGCCATCGGTTCACTCAAACAATTGGGGCGTCTACGAAAACTGAGCATGGAACACTTCCGGAAACACGGCGCTCATACGTGCCACCGCTCAGCGACAACGACCATCTGCGATCCGGAGGTTCCGTCATCCACATCGAAGCCCCGGAAGAGTGTGCGTCGGAAAAATCCCCAAATATGAGCCAGTCTTCTGCTGCGAAACCATGGAGCCCTCCTCTCCAGCCAAGAACGATGTGGGCGACTAGTTCACCGACCGACTTGGCGAGATAGCGGACGGAGGAGCTCGCACCGATATTGCAGGAAAGAAAAGACGATTCACCAATTTCTCACCGATCATCGAGGAATGTGAGCGAAGCGGCCGGAACAAGCCGGCCACAAGCGAGCCAGTCTTCTTCGGCGTTCCGATCTCTCTCAATCTTTTGCGTAGTCCGTGACGTCCGCGATGTTCTGCTAGGCTGACGCAAATCTGTCCAATCCATGGAGCGGTTGAGCGAGCCTCCTGCTCGAGGAGATGCCACCGCTATCGTCAAGTAGCCGCTACTCTGTTTCTGGTTATATGGATCCGCATCTGCCGTGGTCCTACTATGCCGCTCTGATCCATCACTCCATGCCAAAAGATGATAGACTGGCAGAGTTTCCGAATTAGAGGAAGGAGGTGGAGGAGTAGTAGGAGACTCTACAGGCGAGCGGACAGCGGCCAGGAGTTGCGCGCGTTGCATGGCCTCGCATCGAAGTTCGAGACTTCACGTCGATAGCGTAGACTCCGAGTCGTCTGATCAATAGGAAGCGACAATCTGGGAGACTCTCTCAACGACTCGGAGTCAGGATCAAAATGATCGTGATGGGCATCAGAGGCCTTCTTACGTTCTGCGTGTGTGGCGGGACTGATTTCATTGTAGCCATTTATGAGAGGAAATTCTGTTTTCCTACCTGCTCCAAGCACAGTGAGAAGAATGTATAAGAATCGGTACGAAATGTTTCATAGGGAGCATTGGTTTCAACAACGAGTCCTGGTTAAGTACAGAGAAAAACGTAATCTCTAGATGCCGTTCAGAGTTTATAAGCGTCGGAAGTTATACGTCGTTAGGGGATTAAGGCAGCAACGACTGCAATTCCAATGGGTTTCGGCCTATTAGCTCCTTTCTATACTATTCCATTATATTTTACCGAAGACTTTTAGATAGATATTCGTGTATAGCTATGCTTCGAGTGAATGACAGAAACCGAAAGGAGGAAGGAGTTCCGAAAAAACGAGGCATACGATTCGGTCGGTTGGAAAGCCGACCAGGATGAAAAAATCTATAGACACAAAAACAACTCATGGAAAACCTAAGGGTGGAGACATGAAAAAATGGGTAAACCACCTCCAGTGCCAAAGCGACTTCTGTTGATATTATCTCAGCGTGGAGTCGTCACTTTTTCTTGAGTACGTCAACTTTCATTTGCGGGTCTACTGATACATGCTAGAGAGTACGTTCCGACTACCGAATTGTCCACAGTACTGCGAAGTCGCCTGGTTTCGCTTTCGAGCATCGTCATCATATCTCTTATCCGAGCTTCATTTTCTCGATCGCCGCCGATTTCTGTTATGGTATACTTTGAGCTTTGAGCTACTCCCCACTGTGTCATTCTCGGTGAAGTCCTCATGTAGTTTACGAAGCCAGCGCGGACAGATTGAAGAGCACGCTATCTATCGGCATCGACAGATCCCAAAACTTCGAAGAAACTATCTTGATCGGTCTCGCCTGCAAATCTAGGATGCAATTGTCTATATTTTTATTGCACGGAATAAAACGGAGTAACAATCATTTTCGCACAGATCCGTGCTATCGTTTTGTTTCAGATTATTGCCGTCGGTAGTCTGGCGCAATCGGCGCATGAATGAGGGACCGACAGGATGCTGCTGATTGATAAATGTTCCATGTGGGGGCGTATGAGGGTTTTTCCCGGGGTGTGGGGGGGGCATAATGATGATGATGATGATCCCCATTGATTCTATAATTCTCAAAAGGCTCATGTACATGATACCCACCAAAAAAACCTAAGGCTCTTTACCTGAAGGCAGAGAGCATAGTGTTGGATTTGAAGAAATTCGGATCATACGTTGGAGGGAAGACATGAGGGGAGAGGGCATTCCATAGACGGTATGCGCGGGGAAAAAATAGAGGCGAATCGAGCAGTACAACTTCTCTCCCCCGGGAAAAGTTGGACAGAGTAGGGATGCTGCTCAGTACACTTTCTGCTTACACGGGCGGGGACCAAAATAGGGGGAACGAGGGAAGAGATTTCATCTGAGCATTCTCTGGAAGTATCGATAGAATAGGCAGAGGTCGGTCACGTTACGACTTGAGGATAAAGATTCAAGAAAGGAAATGGTTGGAGGGGGCCATGGCCCCCTCGGCCCCCTCATAGACGATACTGGTTCCATGTTGTGTTTCTGTCTTCCATCGGACCCGGATTCGTGGAAAGCGAGCGAAAATGCCTAGCCGGAATGCCTGACAGTGATTCGCGCCGCAGCCGTCGACTGTCTTCTGTTGTCCTATGTACGTCCGAGGGCTGCTCGGGAGCAGGAGGCGGGCCCTCAATACTCGCCGAGGGTTTATCGTGTCAAGTTGTTTGCTTCCATTCGATCCATACGGGACGAGGGAATGTGCGCACTAGTCCATACGCAACTGTTGCAAACAGCCTTCTCGAGTGGACCCTCGACCACGTGCGGAGAACGGATCTGTCGACGGGACGACTATTCTCCCTCTCGTGTATGCGCGTTTGCTCGATAAGCGTTCGCCGCGCATATCCGAAAGAACGCCGATGGATCACATTTTTACGCTGCGAGTCGGTAATGTCGATTCCGATTAGACCTTTCATAATGTTTGTTATGCCTCGCGTGGCATTGATTCCTCTCTGGGAATCTGCTCTATTCGGAAAGCTTTCGCTTTGATGCTCGAAAGCCGCAAAACAAGCGCTTACAAAAATGTCCCCAGGATCCTAGGTCTCGAATTCGGAGAATATCATGCTTGAGATGGGGAACGAACCATGATATCTTCCTCGACGAGTTCACCGGAAACGGAAGGAAGCGTCCGTGACCTCTTCGATGCTGGATGATGGCAGTCGGTTCGCAAACTAGTAAAGATACCGTGGGCTTTATAGCCCGTGAGCCGTAGCCTTCGGAAAGATTTCCAGACCGAGATTGAGTTCCTGCGAGAGTTCGTGCAGGGGCTGCTTGGGAATTCTTCCGGCAGACTCAAAGTGGTCCACAAGCGCTGATGACAATCGGACAACCGACGAATCCGCTCCCCGTGGAGCTGGGCGTCATGGCTTCGAGCCCCGTGAGAGCATTACCAAATATCAGGTATTGAGAATAATACCGCTCGATCTCTCTCAGCTCAGATCCTCGGGAGGAGCTATTCCGGGAAAAATTATAATTCATCCCTTTCGGAATACGTCACACGACAATCAGCGAAAAGTGGCACACTCGACTCTGTTCCGATCGGATGCTTTCTCTCGGAACCCCGCTACAGACAGAAGACTCCGGCAGTGACTCCATTTCCGAAGTCCTCTCGACTTGCACCACGCATTGAATCATCGTCATCAGGCGGCTAGGCGTTGTAAGACATTATTGAAGAGCCCCCGGAGGACCTGAGAATGATAAGGACCTAAATAATAATAATATCCGCACTCGATTCACGGTGATCGAAACCTCTCACACATAGGACAGCTGAGGAAGTGCTGCTACTTGCTCGAGCAACTTCTGGTTCGCAGGGAATTGTTTTCTCCTGGATCTCCTGTACATACTTCAGACTTCACGAGGTGAAAAGCCCGCCTCCTCGAGACGTCGAATTCTATTGAGACTCCAGACGTCTTTACTTTTGTTTTGATTCGATTCGACGAGTGTGTGTTCCATTTATCGATCAACCGATAATTGAGAAGAAAAATCGATTCTCGAAGCCATGCTGACAAGGTCCGTAAGGTCCCGTGGGAACTTGACTCGCTGCCGCCGCAGCGAAGGCATTGAGGTCCGTTCGGGTGGAAAATGCTGTGGCTCCGCTTCCACTCGAATAAATCACAGCGTAAATGACGTCGACGACCGACCGACCGTCCATGCGACTACTCCGTTCGCCGATTCGCGAGTCGCGCAGACGTCGTGCACGACAGCCTGCTCCGTTACCATTCGTAGCTGGCGACCCATCCGTCGCGTTCTTGTGGCCGCCGCCACCGCTCAATTCCTTTCTCGATCCGAAGCAGACATCTCTGTGTTTTTCTGTCGCGCGACAAAGTCTTTCGCTGTCCACTTTGTCACAGACGACGGGGGCAGCATGGCCCATCCCGAAGTCCACGCGTCGGGCCACTTCAATTGATATAGGGAGCAATCCGCCCTACTCAAGCCAAGTCCGATGGGCCTGTACTGTCCTGGAACTGGAACCGTTCACACGTGTCCCATTATGATTGATCTCGCGGGACCTTTGGACTTTCAGTCAACCAATTCTTGGCAAGTGCCTGACTAATGGAAATCCCTTGGTAGCCCAGGGTAACTACCTCTGTCGACGGAGGCTGCGATCCCTTTAGAGGTCGACTTTCGCACTTCCACAAGCGAAGATTTCCCGGAAGTCCGCTGTAAATACCTCTGGAACGCCGAGGGAACGGGCGACCTGAACTTGCTAATGGAATGACGTGTTATCATCCCTTAGTCCTGATTCCTTCTTCTCCTTCTCCGGCCCCCTTCCGCAGTGAAAATGCGCGGCGGCTCCCTTTGTCCGACAATATGACCGACGCGAGCCACGCATCCGACGACACTAGGTGTCGTGGGAATAAACTCGAGCCTCGGCGCTCTTATCTCATGGAAGTTTCTTCTTTTTCGGTCGTCTTCCCCTCGCTCCTTCCTCCTCATCGACCTCTCAGAATTGAAGAAGGCGCCTCGAACGATGTCGAAGAGAGTGTCCTAGGTCCTAGAGGACAAGCTCGCAGCCCGACCTGGGATCACGTCTTGGTGGGGGAAATTAGAACATCTCCGGAATTCGCTTTGATCACTCGTGCCTCCCGAACGTCCAGA